CGATAAATTTATCGAAATAGCCAGTTGTTAAATGTTTTAGTATCTATTTATATCGATCGGTATGCCGATGACGAATACAAGCACGAATTAGAACAGACCAAAAATCATCGTCGATAGCATCTATATTTTCGTAAGTTACGTTCAGATATGCGAGTATCCGTGATGGGAAACGCAGGTAAGCCGCAACAACAAAACGCTCACCTTCTTCACTTGTAGTTCTAAACTTTAGTTATGTTTCTCTCTCCAGTTAGTGCCCGCCGGAAATGTTAGCAAACTTAACTTATCATATACTGATAGTTTGTCGAAAACTTTTCAGTGCATTTCCCTGCCACAAAAGTCTTCCTACGGCATTTAACGATTTCGCTGTCTCTTTTCATGTTTATGTAGATTCATAATTCCTGTACAATGCCTGCATATTTAGTATAAATGTATGCGTACATAACAGCATACATACATACACAGCAGTCAGTACTTACGCTAAGAAGTTCTACTTGAATTTTTGTGTGTTGTAAACCCCTTGGTTGAAATCGCACAGACACGCCCATCCATAAATATTGGCGTGAATACGAAATTTCGGATTTCAGTTAAAAAAAAGAAGACAGACAGACAGACAGTGGAAAAACATACTACACCTGTCCGCTTATAAGTCCGTTCACATGTCGGTTTACTTGGAATTAGGTTGCATTGCGGTTAGGACGCACTGAGTCTGCCTTAACAGCATAGGAAAATAAAATAAGAACAACAATAATTACATATGTATACCGGGAAAACACACATTTTTGTGTGCTATTTAAAATCTAGACACACATACATATAAATACATGTACATTGGGGTGGTTCAAAAATGCACGTGAAAAAGTCAAGTAGGATTTTTAATGCTCTCACCACCTCGGATTGTTCTATATCGATACAAACTTTACCCCCGAGTTTTTATTTTGAAAAGCGTTCAAAGTTATCAATGTATTTTACTATATAGGGGAAATGGTGTAGAATTCTCGAAAATCAATATTTTTCGATCGGAAAATTCCTTTCTCTTTAGGAGACTTCCAATAACAATACCAAATTGTTTATTTAACCATTTTCTATTATTAACTCTTTTATATAGGACCCGTAAAAACCTCAAATCGGTCCCCAAGGCATTTTTTGAGGTTTTTAGGGGTCCTATATAAAATTAGTTAATAATAGAAGATGATAAATGATGTTTTCCGATCGAAAAACATTGATTTCAAGAATTCCATACCATATTTAAGAAAACTTGTTTTTTCCCCATCTAAAATACATGGAATACTTTGAGCGCTTTGAGCGACCTCTAACTACTTTTTGATTTCAAAGAAAAAAA